GAGGAGCTGGAGGGGAGAGTGAAAAGCAGGTCCAATATTATCTCTCAAAATCAGCCAACCAGTGAAGCTGTTGAAGGACAGGAGAAATATATTCTACAGAAGCGGTTCTGGTAGTTACACGAGCAACTGCATTTTGGACCAGCTGACGACTATGGAGAAGTAACCAAGAAAAGACAGAATTACAATAATCAACATGGAGTGTAACCAGGGCACATACAAAAATAACAATCCGGTCGTTAAGTCTGACGTCACTAGCCGTGTCTGGGTCTAAACTCTGCTGCAGGTCCATATATCAAACGATCACTATGGCATTACTGAGAGTTGAAAAACTGTCTAAAGTCTTTCATCTTTAATAAAATGATCAGCGTTCTGCTCTACCAGGTGTAACAATTGAGTTTAACATCCAGGCATCCATGAAAACGGAATTTATGACATTTAACGGAGTTAGAAGTTAGCAGGGAGTTAGCTCGCTAGCTTCTATCTAAATACAATATAGCATGTCCTGACTGCGGGGTTTTGGAAACAAATTAAAACGTACAGCTCTGCTATCACTTCCAACATAAATGAAGACAGAAAACTAAACAGCAGTGACGTTTGTAGGGTTACTGAAGTTTGGCTAGCTGGTATATAATGATGTGCTACGTGACCGCTAGCGACACAGCTATGTTAGCATAATATAAACAAGCTAACTTTTTTTCCACTCGATAAAAGTTAACGCGAGTGTTCTCGGTGGTCAGGAACAAATGTAATCGCATGGCAGGATGCTGTAAAAGGACCAAACTTCAGCCAGGAGAACAACTGAGATAATCCATCCACAATACGAGGTTAGTCATTCATATACTGCTGCATGGGCTGGGCTGTAGTTACATCCTAAGGTTTTAAAAACTGAGCTTAAATAAATGATTAGCGGTAATAAAAGCCGAGGGAGGTCCACAGGGATCACTGACTGTTTTAGGAGCTTTTTGAGATTAAATAGAAGAAAATACATAACATTAAACATGTTAACAACACAAAAGCCATATTAAACGCAGACTACTTTAGGCCCGCAAGTAGGATTCGTCACGTCATCACTTAACGACCGGATTGTTTGACGTCCTGGTCACTTGCTTGTCCAACAACACTTAAAACTATTGAAAACATTTATAAAAGAAGTTTAAAACTACTTGACAAAAAACAGACTTCCCACCACCACTGTCATGTGTTAAAAAACATAAATTATTGAACTTCAATAATTTAGTGGCACCCCCATACTCTGCAACCCGCCAAAGGGGGCCCAGGCCCATCCGGACCGGGGCCTAGTTCAGCAGCACCTTTTTGGTTCCCAGATGTTCTGTACTCATAAAAAACATTCATAGCTTTTGTCCCATCACTTTTGCATGTCATATTATAATAATTGAGTCAAATTTTAGTTATGTATTTACAGCATAACAACAGAATTTAACAGTTTAGTCTTTTAAATAAACATATTTGTGAAATTGTTTTAAACTTGTGACTGTTTTGCAGTTTTTTGTGTGTAGAAAAAATACACTTTACACTTTCTATAATTCAAATGTAAAAAGTTATTTTTATACAAAGGTACATTTTTATTCTTGTAATTTTATACATATATATCACATATTTAAAAATAACAGAAAAATTCAGTAAAACCTATTACTTAAACATGTGTTAAACGTGTTACAGATATTTTTATAGTGTACTGCAAAAATAGATTTAAAATGTTGACATCACTTTATAACTGGGATGTTTTGTTAATATTCTTGATGACTTGATATTAAATAGAAAGGCCAACATGGCTGATGACATGTGGAAGAGTAATTTGTATTGACACATCGATTGCTTTAGACAGAACAACAATGATGAGATGAGATGGCCTATTCTCGTTTGGCTCTTGGCGAAGGCGGTCGCACTTTTCTCCTCTCCTCCTTCCCCTTATCTTCCCTGCTTAGCCTCTTATGTCCTTGTCTTGTCTCATGTGTATTACTTTCCCTCGAACAGTCTCTCACTGTCGTTCTCTAAAACCTAAAAGAGAATTATGGATTTGATCAACTGGTCTCTGAATGCTATTGACACCCTTTTCTCAACGAGGAGTCTGGGCTCGGGAGAGCCCGAGTGCCCTGGAGGTACTTTCCCTGACGGATACACGATGGACGGGTGGCAGACATGGAGGATCGTGTGCCTGGCGGGACTGTCGATCGAGGACGCTGAAGATATCTACCTATTTGGAACCATGATAACAGGGTTCTTGCTGATCGGAGCTGGCTTGGCCCTGGCTTATCGGAGAATTAAGAGAGCGGAACCGGCTGTTCAAACCCCCCCAAGGCTGCCCGCTGGAACTGAAGCGATGGGTTGAGGCGCGACTTCTCACAATGAACGCAGCATGGTTAACACCTTGGAGAAGCTTACAGCTGCCGTGAAGACTCAAAACAACACCATTGAGCGTATGATGGGATACATCAAAGAGAGGCCTGCTCAAAATGAGACCCTTGAGCGAAAGTTGGATCACATCGCAGAACGGCTCACTGCAGTTGTGGGGTCTCAGAATCACAAGAATGACAACACCACGGACCAGAAGTTTGATACCATCTTGGGGAGGCTCGCGGGTCTACAATGGGAGATTGAGAGACCAGTGTCGGAGTGTTAAAGATCAGGTTTGAAATTCTCCTAAGCTGCTCGCATAAAAGAAAAATCAACGGCATCAACATGCGAACACCACGGCGCCAGCTGCACGGCTCAAGGCCGGAGCTGAACAAAAACTCCCTGATAACGACTGTGTTGAGTCTGTTCCTTCCCATCCCATGCAAGGCCACCTGGTTTGGCTGGAAGACTGTTTACTTAGCCTGATAGGGTGAAGGACACTGTCTCAGCTGAACTATGGACACACACACACATACACTTACACTGATAAGCACTCACACATCCCCCCTCCCCTTCCAATGCCTTCGATGCTTGTTGCCTCCTGGGAACACGAGGCGGGTCTGGGCCTGCGCTGGTGAGTCGGCGCAGTGGCAGGATGGCTGCTGTGTTGCCTGGGATTACTCTTTCCCCTACCCAACCCTGTTGCTGGTCACGTGCTCTATAATGTTGTGCTGTGGACATTTATGTGCTTTTTTGTGCAGAGGAGTTTTTTTGTTTCCTGTTCTCATGCTGTCCTCTATAGCCCAGCATGAGCAGAGGTCTCTTTTTTTCCTCTTGTACTTTTCCCATTGTAGTGTACATTTCAGTGTTTTTTTCTGTAATGCAACCGTTCTCTGACTTGTATCCCCATGTGATGTCTGTGTTGTGTGTGTAAGGTCGGGGGGCGGGTTCATTTCACTGCAG